TATATATATATATATATATATAACTCCATTTTAAAGCATATGCAGCGTGCCTTACTATCACCAGAGAACATCAGCAGCCTGAGGATGAAGAAGCCTTGCTGATAGGGTTGCCAGCTCTGGGTTGGGATGTTCCTGGAGATTTTGGGGGTAGAGCCTGGGGAGGGCGGGGTTTGGGGAGGGGAGGGACTTCAAAGGGGTAGAATGCCATAGAGTCCACCTTCCAAAGTGGCCATTTTCTCCATGTGGCTGGAGATCAGTCATAATCCCAGGACATCTCCAGCCACCACCTGGAAGTTGGCAAACCTAATTGCAGAGTTTGAAGAGTCCACAGTTTTTCTTGGGAAGCCCATGAACAGGCCACTAAGACAACCCTGTTGTATATCCTGAGCAGGGTGTGTTGTGTGTTCAGTGGTGTGTGAGAATGAGGTCCTGGTTAAAGAAGTGGATGAAGACTTGGAAGCCCTAGGTTGAAATGTGCATGCTGCCAAGAAATTTATTGGGTGCCCTTGAGCCTAGCCAAGAGCTATTCTCTCAGCTGTTTGGATAAAATGGAATAGGGAAGAACCATATTTTTTAAAAAGGATATACTTATTAGGGGGTTATTTTTGTCTTTTTCTTATCAGACAAACACCTGTACAGTAACTCAGTATTCTACACCTTTTAATAAGCAAGAAATTTTCTCATCTGGGAAATCAAAGCCAGCTCCAAGTAATGAGAGACTTACGTTTGATCTTAAATCTGAAAATAGAGGACAGTCTAATACTATATGGCCAATTGAGTCTATTCAGTCTGAACCATGGGTACATAATCTATTATTTATTTTATTTTTGTTCAATTTTTAGCCCACCCTCAGGGCAGGTTACAACATGGTTAAAACATACAACATAATTAAAATATAATACAACCGTAAAATCTATAAAATCATTAATTAGCCAATATACAACATCTCTAAAACATTACTAAAACATTTGATGGCGTCTGCTACACGACAAACATCCCAAGGGATTCAGATTGTGGGTAGCCGTAGATGGAACGGTACAGAGCAAATGGGTAGGTGAGAAAATCAGCCATGATCGATAGAACAGAGCAGAGCAAGGGAGGCCATTATAGATGAGTTGCCGCCTCCTCAACCATAGGCCTGGTGGAACATCTCCATTTTACAGGCCCTGTGAAACTGCCTTAAATCATGCAGGGCCCAGATCTCAACTGGGAGACTGTTCCACCAGGCCGGCACCAGAGCTGAAAAAGCTCTGGCTCTAATTGAGGGTAGGCGTACATCCTTTGGGCCAGGGATCACCAGTGGATGTTGATCATAAGAGGACAAAGCCCATCGAGGCACATATTGGGAGAGACGGTCCTATAGGTATGTTGGTCTAAGTCCACATAGGGCTTTAATTGTTAGCGCTAGAACTTTGAACTTGATCTGGAATTCGACTGGGAGCCAGGGCAGCTGATGCAGCACCGGATGTATGTGTGCTCTCAGTGATTTCCCCAAAAGGATGCGTGCCACTGCATTCTGGACCAGCTGCAGTTTCTGGGTCAGTCTCAAGGGTAGCCCTGTGTAAAACGAGTTACAGTAATCCAGCCTGGAAGGTGACCGTTGCATGGATCACTGTAGCTAAGTCACGGGGAGAGAGATAGGGGACTGGCTACTTGACCTGCCAAAGATGGAAGATGCAGATCTAGCAACTGCTGTGACCTGGGCCTCCATTGAAAGCAAGGCATCCAGGGTCATGGCCAAACTCCTTACTGTTGGTACAGGTGTTAATAGCACTCTGTCAACAGTTGGGAGCTGAATCTCCAATCTCATCACCCTGTGGTAGGTTTGCCAGCCTCCAGGTGGGCCCTGGGGATCTCCTGCTTTTACAACTGATTTCCAACTGACAGAGATCAGCTCCCCTGGAGAAAATGGCTGCTTTGAAGAGTGGACTCTATGGTATTGTGCCATGCTGAGGCTCCTCCCCTCCCCAAACCCCGCCCTCTCCTGGATCCACCCCCAAAGTCTCCAGTTATTATCCAACCCAGGACTGGCAACCCAACCCCATGGCCAAGGTACAGGACCTCTGTCTTCGTTGGATTTAATTTATTAGAAAATGACATCCCTTGGTATCTTCCCTTTAACACATTCAGCTGTGCTAACACAAATGTCCTTTATATGTTGGTATTGTCAGAAGAAGAAAATATCTTGGCATTTTAATCGGAGGGGAAATACCAATAGTAAAAGTAGACCACACTCTCCAGGCCCTAGTGGCTGTGCTTCTGTAGTCTAGATCCTTCAGATGACATTTTATCAAATTGCTCAGTTCCTGTTTTCCCAGGGCAACAATAATTTCATTTGTTATATTTAGGTGTAACAACTTACTCCTGGCAACATATTTTGGGACTCCCAGAATGCAGCATAAAAAGCTTAACAGAGGCTGGTCAATATTTTCTGTTACTGCATTAATCCAAATCCCTGCTACATACAATAAATATCCAGAAGCCTTAGCACTGAAGGCATGATTTGTAGCTGGGACATTATTGTCCTTTCACAGTAATAAAAAATGACATGATGGCTCTAGTTGAACTATTGGCATCTCTCATTGCAGAACTCAGATGAATCTTCCAGGAAAGATTATCCTGAAGCATTACTCCCAGACATCTAAACTGCTCCACTTTATCAATATTATGAATGGCAACTGACCATTTGTACTTTCTGTTCCCTTGTTTCTTACTAAAAAGGAGAACTTTAGATTTTGAGTAATCAATAACTGGGCCTTCTTTGGAACAGTAATCTGAGAAGGAATGTAAGACTACACATTCCCACTACTGATCTTGCAAGTAATGCTGTATCGTCATCATATAATAGTGCTGGCAATTTAAGGAAAGGCTGAGTGGAAATCATTGTGGGACAGGAAGGAGCACAAATAATTAACATAGATACTAAATAACAGTGGTGCAAGGATGTAACCTTGCTTCACACCTTTATTCAATGTAATTTGACCTAACAGTTGATCAGAGGGGCCACACCTCACTTGAGCAGAAGCGGAATCATAGAGTGCTTGGATCAAAAATAATAGTCCTCGGCCCATAGAAGTGTCCCGCAACGCCCCCCAGAGCCTCTTTCTCGGTCTTGAGTCAAAAGCAGCCTTGAGGTCCATGAATGTGACCACTGCCACGCCCTCTTTAAAGTTAATATACTTGTCTGTCAAATACTGGAGGGTGTAGCAGTGATCAACAGCACTAGCACCCTTCCAGAAGCTGGCCTGTTCTTGACACAGTTTAGACATCAGTCCACTTTAGACATTTGTTGTTGGTGGTGTTCTGTGCCCTCTCTTCAACCTGATCCACCAGTAAAGGCAATTTTTGACTGGAAGGACAGGCTGTGATCAAATGGCCTTCGATAAGTTGTGGTTTCTCAGATTTGTTTTCCAAATGGGAACAATATGGATCTGCCCCACAAGGATGTTTACAGGGCAGTCAAGACAAGTACTTAGCTTAACTGTATGTTACTGTTTGTGAAGCTGGTAAAACAATAATGTTTTCATGGTCTTTCTGCTTCTGTGTGCCATTCTGACCGTCTAGTGGCCTTGCTGTTTCTGTTTTTTGTGTGTGATCTGCTTCCCAGACCTGAGAAGAGAATGAGTGCTGCCAGCTGGGCTTTGTCTGTAGGGATACACAACAACGTTCTGATTTTCTTTCCTCTACCCCCTTCCACTGAGGGGGAGGTTCACTAAGACAAAGCAGAAAGCATGTGTATCTATTCTTCATTTAAAACTTTGGCCTTTTTATTTTTTGTAGCATCCTTGAGAAAGTCAGGGAGACAGGCAGGATGCCCAGAGTATAGCCTTTTGCAGACTTTTCTCCTTCAGTAAACTGTTTGTGTCCTTGAAAACAGCAAGCAAAAAAATCCCCAACAACCCTTTTTGCATATGCCTCTTCTCTTCACTCTGCAACGCTTGCTGAAAGAATGTGGTGTGCATTAAGAGGCTGAAGCTGAGAAACATTTCTCTCCCCCCCCCCCAGTTCAAAACTTTTTCAAGAAGCTTGCTTGTTACATTTATTTATTTATGCATACAAAATATTTTTATCTTCCTCTTGAAGGCTGAGGAACCAACTAATGACAAGTTTTTAAAAACAGTGTGAGCTAAAAATTTACACATTTAAGTTAAAAATTCATCTTGATTAATACAATTTCCGAATTCTCTGCAGTTCCCAATATATTCTGAGATCCCAGATGGAGAAATAAGTTTAGTGGAGCAAAGAAGACAATGAAATATCACCAGATCTTACTAAAAAGGCATTTGACAGCTCTTCTGAATGGCCAACAAAGGGGGGGGGTTCTTTATTTTCATAAACAAGCTTTAAAATTAAAAAAACAACAAAACAGTTATTCAGCTTTTCACAAAACAAAGTAGAAATTTTCAAACCTGGCTTAAACTAGACTAGGGCCCCACACAAGTGACCAAGTACAACTAGATATATGGGAATAACACTGGTAGTATTTTCTTTTTCTTCTTGTTTTCAAATCCAGATGGGGAGTTTGGTTTCGTTGTGCCATTTTTTTATTTGCACAGAGCTTTTAGATGGGGGAGAATTATAATTTCCCCTGCCTGCATTCTGAAGTGATACAGCCCATTCTTCTACTGCCTTATTCTGCCACTTGTGTATACCAAACCTACGTGGCAAGTAGTAGCAGATTTTCCAGGTGTGGGGCAAAAACAAGCATGGGATGACAGCAGCCATGCTGCTCTGTGCATGAAAATCTTTCCCATAATTTTCAACAGATCTGTCTGTTTTGAATTGATTTCACTCTTGGACTGGTACATTTGAGGACAAATCTTAGTCACCTCGATGCACATTTTTGGGTGCTTCCAGTTTAGGATAGACAGTTGTCCAGCTCAGCAGGGCATTCTGCCTCAAAATGCTGAAGTCCTGCTGACTTTCAGTGGCCAAGAGGAAAAGTTGGTGGGCTGCCTGTGGTCAGAGATTGCATGATTCAAGCTTTGCCCCCCCCAAATCTGTTTTGCTCCCTCTGGGACTACTAGAGAGAGCAAAACACTTTGGGGAGGGGGAAACCCTGAAGCAATAAGGACAAACGAGTGACAATACGTTAAATGCATGGCTTGTACTGATCAACGGACTATACATTTAAAATGTAAAAAACTATTTATGACCTTTGGACCATGAGATCTTGCCACCCGCTAGCTGAACTTCCAGGTGTAACGTCTAGTTTGGACCCCAGTGTTGGCATCCAGTCTTACTTGGTTGTTTTCTGCCCTCATCTGACTATGACCTGCTTCCCTGTCCCATTTACACTCATGCTGCAATTCTGCACACAGTAAGGCCACTGGAATCAAATGGAACTGTGAGATCCAAAGTAAGTGAAATGTAAGCAGCTGCTTCTGTCTCCGCATGTTGTTCTTCTGGAGATTAAAGATAGCTGAGGTTTCTTATCATGTACATTTGGTCCCCAAATCAGTCCAGCTTGCAAATTGTGAAACCCACAGGGTGCGTTCAAACGGGGGCTTTACATCGGTTAGGGTGCCGGTTCCAACCGTTGTACTCACCGGCGTTCAGACGGGGCACATCTGCCTCCTGTCCCTAACCGGTGTAAAGCCCTTTACACCGTTGCACTCTGCCACCAGGTCCCAAGTGGTGGTATCCTGAGTGCAACGGTTGTAAACGGTGTACCCCGGCGTCTGATCGGTCTCCACCGTTCCACAGCCATTTCCGTCGGAAGCATGAGGCTTCCGTTTTCCCCCCACCATTTTTTTTTAACTCTAAGCGATATGCGCTTGGGCGAAGCTTCGCCCTGAGCGTTTTTTTTTTGTTTTTTTTTAAAGCCCTTACTTTACCTATCCGGGGGAGTCCGGGACTTAAGGGAGTGAATGGCTGCCTATGCGCATGCTCAAGCTGTGTTTTTTTTTAAAAAAAAAACTCGCCGACGCCCGCAGCGTGTGAGCGGGCGTACACCGAAGACAACCGCGAAATGGAGGTAAGTGTGATCGCGTTTCTGCCGGCATAAACTGCACCGGTTCCAACCGGTACAGTTTATGCCGGCAGAAAGCCCCCGTCTGAACGCACCCACAGTTTCATGGGATTATTTTTGGTCAGTTAAACTAAAGATGTTCTTGGAAAAATAGGGGTTTTGGTTGCTCTTTTTAATCAACAGAATAAAGACTGTTTATCACTCATACTTTTATATTAATTAGGGGGAAATCACCTTTCTGCAATGTAGTGGGTAGAGGGTTGGACTAGGATCTAGTAGATCCAAGTTCAAATCCCCACTCTGCCATGGAAGCTTGCTGGGTGACCTTTGGCCAGTCACACTCTTAGCCTAACCTACCTCACAGGGTTGTTGTGAGGATAAAATGGAGGGGGCGAGAACAATGTAAGCCTCATTGGGTCCCCAATAGGGAGAAAGTTGGTGCATAAATCAAGTAAATAAATAAATTTTAATGCTCTGAGGTGCTCTTTTCTGATTCCCATGTTTTACATGCTGTGATTTTTCTGTTTTGCAGAAATCTGGACTGTATGAGTACAAACTCTATGGTAGTATTGCTGATTGCTCCCCAGAGCTATGTGCTGAAGTTTACATGGATCTGAATTACAGACCAAATTGGGACCGGTATGCTAAAGGTTTGTAAGTAACTGTTAGAAAGAATTAAAATTTTATCTTAATTGTTCATTATGGTTGGTTCTCCTACAGTTCCTTGAGTATCTCTCACTTCAAATTTCAGTTGTTTGGCATAGCGTTTCCTCATATGATCAATGTACCAACAGTGCAGTCCTAAGCAGAGGTCCACCGTTTTAAGCTCACTGACTTCAATGGACTTAGAAGGGTGTAACTCTGCTTAGGATTGCACTGCAAGTGAATATTTCTTCCCAAAAACACAAATGTTCCTTGAAAAACCCTCATATTTAGTGTTTCAAGCTCCCTGGGGCTCAGTTGAGAATTGGGTCTACCTTTTTTAGAAATAATGTTTTTTCCCTGAACTTGTCAGATCTTGTCATATTCCAAGTAACATCATCGAGACAACATCCTTAGAACCCTCACCACAATCCCCATCACTTCTGCTCAGTAGCTACATTTCCCGGGGTTCCTGGCAAGCAGGACACTCCTCTAGCAGCATTCTGGGCACTGGGAAGGGATGGGGAGAAGAAGAGAGCCTCTCTTCCTGTTTCTTTTATTGTCTCAGCAGCATCAGCTAGATAAGTGGGTGTGTGGGATGTGGGGAGGGAGAAAGGAAATGATCTAGAGAAAACGGGGGGTCATAAGGCATGCCTCAGATTGAAGGTGGGCACCATGATTTGCCAATGTTTGGCCCCGGTCATACGAGCGAGATAATACGGGCGGGAAGCGAGGCTTTTTGCCCGGTATCGCCATCAGACGTTCCCCCGAGGCTCCGTGCTCAGGCCATCAGACGCTGCTCACACGTTGAG